TTAACTATGTATATTCAAGCATCAAAGAAAATTTTTCATTTACACAATATTTAGACATACAATTACCTGTTTAAAATGTTTCAAACAACTTGTTAAAGAACTGTTGAAGAACATTTACTTCATTTACTTATATATCTAGTAGGCTTTATGCCACTGACAGATGACACTTGTGGCCATTATGACAGTTGATAATTATGCCCAACTTACAAAACTGTACAAAACTTTGAGATGTTTAATGATATTTAATAAAAAAAATAGAAAACTAGAAATTAGCAGATTCCATTGTACTTGCTATCCTCTACAATAAATAATATAATAATACTTGCTTGTTTTGAAATGTTTTAAGGTGCGCCACACCTAACGAACGAACACGAACGAACATAAAAGAACGTACCAGAACGAACGGCAACAGCATAGTGTGGACGCCGCTACGACGATCACGAACGAACATAAACAAACATGGCGAGCAATGTTCCGCAACTTGTCGGTACATCAAAGGGAATTGTTCGTTCATGTTTGAACTCGTGTGTGCAGTGTGGACGTCTCAACGAACGCAAACGAACATTTTTGTTTTAATAATTTTAATAATTTAATAATAATTTTTTAATAATGTTAATAATTTTAATGTTTGAACATTTTAATAATATTTACTTTTAATTATCGTGTACAGTTTGAAAATTTTGAATAAATTATGGAATGGTCAAATGACGTAATTTTATCATTCATAAATGAAATAGAAAAGTTTCCTATAATATGGGAGACTAAAGACCCTTTTTATAAAATTATTAGAAAAAAAAACGATGCTTGGGAAAGTGTAGGCAAAACGTTTGGGATGTCAGAAGCTGCAGTAAAGAAGATATTGCAGTCATAGATAAAAGAAGAGTATGATTGCAGTCTTTACAAGTAATATTAAACTTGTTATCATACATAGACATTCAACATATATGTTGAGGATGAGAGTATGAAAATTGAGTATAGTTAGCTCAAGCCTGGAATGTTCAGCTTGCTCCGAATATGAATGCTGAGGAAAGAAAACGACTCAAAATATAAATATTAAATACAGAAACTGAGTGAAATTAATTGAATAATTTATTTACAGTATATTTACAAAATATACACAAACAAAAATCACACAAAACCAGTGAAAATGCCGTATGATTAAGCTTACATCCATATCAATAATAAAACTGACGTTTCACGGAACATCTACGAACAACGAAAATTCAAGCGCTCACTGCTTTTAAGCGCTTGTTCAAGTTCGTTTGGAATTTTTCGCGTTCGTTCGTGTTCCTGTTCGTTCTTCTTTGTATTTTCTTGTTCGACATGTTCGTTCGTGTTCGTTCGTTAGGTGTGGACGCACCTTTATATAAATAATTTTCGTTTTGTATTTTGCAACTAACTTCACTTCGGTCATGTCTACCAACATAGTCATCAAACTAAATTGACATATAGAGACCATTTGCAAATACTTTGACCACTTTGTTGGGATCTTTTATCAAGTAGATCCTTATTGTTTTTAATAATTAAGCATAAAATTATTCTACATAATGTCTTCATTGCGCCCATTTGTTAGAAGCACCGTGAATCGCATGAGTAAGTCATTTATTATATATTATCATATAGGTTACGTAATTTGTGCATAAAGACTATAAGTTCATAAATTTCTGATTATTACAATTTATCTATTTAATATCGAGATTACTACATATCGTGCCCAGAAGTTCTTGTTTCATTTACAATATCTTGACGAGTATACTTTAACATTTTCCTACCTTAGATGCTGTTCGTGGACAATGTAGAAACAGCTCCTACGGTCATCATGGACCTCCAGCAGATTATGTTCCTCCATCCATGAATGAGCTACCAACTCCACAAGGATCCTGGCAAGCTAAACACGATGCCCGCCAAAGGAAATATAATGCAACCCTTCTTGCTGGCGTTGTGTCTTTACTGGAACTCTCATTTTTGTAAGATAATGGTTATAAATTAGTATTGTTTATCTGTACTGTATTATAAAAATTAAATTATTTCAGATGAAAGCAACAGGGTTCGACTTCCACTACTATCCACCAGCGTCTTATGAATAAATTAATAAATTGCAAATATTTGTGTAGTAACTAAGAAATAAATGTCAATACAATAGTTTATTTTATTTAAATTCTTTGGTGTTTGTGTGAGTAATGATGGAATAATTGAATTAAACATGTCATTTATCATAAATGATAAATACTATTCTTTCAGTAATATAGGCTCAGATTAAAATATGGACTCACCTCAATAGTTCCATGTTGGGTTAGATAACTTCAACTGTAAATTCACACTTGATTTATTCAAACTTTTTCAGCCAATCTAGTGATCTTGTTCTCTGTAATCTTGATACAATACAAATTCATAATTTATAATAAAATTCGCTGATCTTCCTTGTGAAATATTCCTATGATAAAGTACCTAAAAAGGATATCTGGCATCTCTTATATATATCTGCTGTTTAAAGAATTAAATATATTTGGTATCATGTAAAATTTGTGTCATACTACTATTAATACAATTAAACAAACATGTATCTATTATTGGTTGTATTAAATCGTAATATTTTACTGCTATAATATAATTATTAAATTTATATAGTAATTGCATTCAACAAACTCTTGAAGTCTCATAATTGAATTTTTTTAAAAGACAAAAAATCATTTGATTTTAGTTGAATACTATTTGTCTAAAATTTATATTACTGATCAGTCTTCTAACAAAATAGAACCATTTTTGCATCTGGTGTTTTGTAATATTGTTAGCACAAAATATAAAATGATATACCTTGAGTATCATAATAATAGTCTCTATTTTAACAATAGAATAAATATCATCATTTATATGAAATACATACATTTCATAGAATTTGTTGAAATATTTGAATAATTAAATTACAAACATACTATAAAAAATAAGCATCTTACCTAAAATCACTTCAATTAAATTTCCTTTAAGCAACTTCTTTATAAATTTCATATTCTCTGCTAACAACATATTCATTCACCATATTCTTTTGATAAAATTATAGATATGTTAAACAAATATAATTCTATCATCTTAAAATAAATGAATTATACAAATTATGTCACTGTTATTATTTCATGAACTGCCGGCCTATGACTTATGCAAAAGTGAGACTGAACTGTTAAAAATAAATTAATTTAAACTTAATTACCATTATACATTTCTAATGCCTACCGAGAAATAAGAACTATGCAAAATATTATTTATAATCCCGGCTTACAATTTACGCGCACACATAAATCGCAAAAAATATATTTATCAATTTTATAACATTTTCATTTTTATATAAAAAGTAATAAAATTACCAAATGCTTTTACATTTTGCACCAAAGAAGCAAGTTTTTTTTAACCGTTATATAAAATTCTACATGTTATAAAATTCTAGCATCTCATATAAAATCATTAATGGGAAATTTTAATAGATCTGTTATTATTGAGCAAATTTACAATTTGTTTTGAAGTAAATATATGAAACTTTGAAATGTAAGCTCTTTGAGATAGATGTATAAGCAATTATTTACAATTTAACATAATACTTAACTATATTTGACAATAATATAATTCTCTATTAAAACTACAAAACATATTAGGCAACAATTCAGTCTAGCAATATATTGATTATAAATAACAATACCTGCATACACATAAAACAGGTGTATAATCATCATACAAATACTTCGCTCTCGCTTTCTCTCAATATACCAAAATGAAAAAAAAAATCAAAACAAAAAGAGAAAATAAATAACTTATAAAAAAATGTTATTTTTTAAACTAAAATAAATTAATTTATCAATATATGCATTTTAAAGCAATAGTCAAAATAAATATGAAACATATGATGATATAGATAAATAACAGAATATAATATTTATGATTCTATATATAAATTCTGTGTAAAATTTCACATTCTAATAAGTAAAAGCAATCATTAAAATTACTATTCAGATATAACTTTATTTAAAATGTTTTTAAAGTTTTGTTTATTATATATAAAAATATGTAAATCTATAGAATATAATAAATGATTTTTGAATAATGTTATTTATCTATATTATCTATTTTAAATTAAATATAGAAAATAATTTGAACGCAACAATTATATAAAAATCTAATATGAATCAAGCATTCCTGCATTTAATGGCACTTCATCGAATCACACACCATTGCTTCATATCAAATTAATCGAAACTAGTTTTTAAAGCACGCAATCACAATCATAAATACAATCACTTTTGTATCCATACCTTAGTAATCAGACATCTTAAACGTAAATATTCATATATAAGTAATGACAAACATACATCACATAATATGCAGTCAATTTTAAAATGGAATCAACAAGATAACTCATTTAAATGTTAGTATAATTGCATAATCAAACTGAAAACTGTATGAAAAACTTTGCAGAAGTGACCCAAAACTCAAAACTTAGACCCAAAATTTTAAAATTCATTACCATTCTTGCTAATATTTATTACTCTTGACTGCAAATATGTGTTCATAATGTTTTGATAAATATCTGACTCAAGTTTGCATATATAATATTAATCTATATAAAAATTGCAATAAATTTGATAATAAATCATCCACATTTTAAAAACGTGGTTTATTGCAACAGCATTCATTTTTTATCATATAAAAACTGACTCAACACATGACACTTAATTTAAGTGCATACATCACATATTCCCGAGATAATTATATCTATCAATAACCAGTCAAATAATTAAGAACTATTGTTATTTCCCGATTGGCATAATGAGCTGACCATTGAATCAAATTCACCTAATGAGACTTCGAACTGCTGTAACTGTTCGGTGACATCACCTATCGCATCAATGGGTTTCATTTCAGGTGCATCGAATGTTTGAAGTGGTGGAGCATGATAGCATTCACGATAGAACCTGGCTAGGTCGCCAATTGGAGAACTTGTTGTGGCAAATGGAAAATGCTGAGAAAAAGATAATTCATAATTAAATAATGTAATTGAAACAGTAAATGCAAAAAATATTACTATAACACTTACAAGTTCTTTCATTAATTTTTCATCTTCAACAGGTAATGTCCACCTTGATTTTCGTTTCTCCTGAGTTCTTGGACTTCCTTCATTGTCATCACTATCTTTACTGGTTCTATTCCAGTTTGTCATACTCCTAAGCAGAAAACATAAAATTCAGTAATCACAATTGAAAGAAGTCAACTATTTTTGGTAATATTAATACTCACTCTGCAGAAAGTGTTCGTTCCATGCTATCATCATCAGATTTATCCTTATCATCATGATTAGCATCATCATTCTGATTGTGGTTGTGGTTACATGGATCATTATTATTGTTGCAACAATTTGCATCAATTTGGCACTCTAAATTATCATCAGACATATCATTTATGACATAGTCACCATTTGTGTCTGGTGACTTATTCTTTTTGTTATTTACTTCATCCTATGAAAAATAAGATTCATTTATTATAATTTATCTATTAAATATTGTTTTGCATTAAATAAATAAAAGTGCATCAAAATATTGTACCTTTTTGGTAAGTAACCAACTAAAAGCAGGTTCTTCAGGTAATAAATAGTCTTGTTCAGTATATTTCTTTACTCTGGACACATCAACAAACGCTCCTGGTCGCATCGGTTTATTCAGATCAATGACTTTCTTTTCATTTCTGAAATGATAGAATAAAAAAACAATTAAAAAATATTCTTTCTGTATCTGTCCTGTATGTGTTTATAAATAGTAATTGTTAAATAGATTAGAGAATGAACTACTAGGAATAATTTGCTGTGACCTCTATTATTCGAAAATATATGATTCACTGCTTTAAATTATTTTTCATATGAGTATTCATCATGAAAAGAACTTTGAGACCAAGCACAAATAAATTAAATTAACCCAAAATAAAATTGTTTAAATATTTTATCCTTACACAACTCTGCCAAGCCTGGTGTTCTGCCTCTTCGGGCTGGCATCTCTTCGGAAATGATCGCTTTTCAGCATCAATAAGTTGTCCCTGGTATTATTGCCGCCCGTCCCGTTTCCAGTAACCGGTCCAGCACCACCGGCAACCGCGACACCACCAGAAGCTGTTGGGGAGATGGTCATCTTGGTGCGGTAAGCTACACTTATGTGCAGGGTGCCCACTGGGGTGCAGAGTTGTCCGACACGAACTTGCTTTGAACCGTCCCCTGGAAGAAGGAATAATGGTTTAGAATAATTGATTAATACTTATAAAATTGACAATGCTATTAGGATTGAAATTGTGAATGAAGGAGTTATGAAATTTACTAATACGTACCGAAGTCAAATATAGAATGAATACAATTAGTGAGTAATTGGAATTACTTTAAGTAATTAGTATTTATTAATTAATGAGATAATGCGACAGTAGTAAATATAGTTTATTATACTATATATTGTCATTTTTATTTAAACAAACAATATGTTCATTTGTTTTGTGGAAAATATAGATATGGAAGTTAAGTTTACAAAAAATTTATAATTATTTTCTCTTTTATGTATAAGCTATTGAAATAAGAGGATTTAAAACTAGTGGTGCATTGCATCGTATGGCAAAATGTATCGTAAACATATATAAATTACTATAACTTACCCTACGAGAACTCACTTAATATCTTTTTGTTCTAATAATTGAAATTAGTTAAATGTGGATTTAAATAACATGTTCTCTGAATTTGGTTAACTCAAATCCCTAAAAATCGTTCACGTAGTTAATGAACACCCCCTTACTCAATTGTATTTATTATTTAAAGTAGAAGTGATACTGTGCTCGTTTACTTTTTATTTATTTATTTATTTATCATATTTTTTAAGTGTCTACTAGAAACAAGTGTCTTGTTTATGGTGAAATAAGAAATAAATAAAAGGATGGTTAAAATCATAGAAGCCTGTTTACAGATCATGTGTAATTGACCTACGCATTGATATCAAATACATACCAGATTGATAGCTCTATCAATATAATCACAAAATCTAAATAACTCTACAAAAATATTACATATTTATTGCAACACGATCATAAATCAGCTTGTCACTCCATCGACCTATTGGATCCAAATATATACAAAAACGGCATATTTAAAATTATTTGCTTGTTTCTTGACACTATGGAAATTCACGGATTTTTGAATGACGTCAAAGCAGATTCAACATCCGAACTTGTTAAATGACAGGTCATATTTTGATAAGACGTATTAGATGGATGCTGGTGTCAATCAACTTATCGAATTATTACAATGGGAGCAACGTAATACACTATCCTACATTTAAATATTGATAAGGATAAGAGAGAACAATGTTCTGCTCTTCCTGACAATCTATTTTCTCTCTATTTTAATTATTGGATAACTGCTAACGAGTTACTTTACAGCCGATAGTATATTTTCGTTCAACACTAAAAATATTCAATTAAAAGTTTCTACATAGCAATGATGGGAAAAGCTGCTGTTAAACTTTCTGAATCAATAAAAATAATAATAGACACAATAACGCTGAAGACGTGTGAAATTTTAATTAAGTTTTTATGTGTATGACGGTGTTGACAAAAGCGTGAAAAACAATTTAAATTTTTCTACATGAACGTAATAAAAAAATTAAATTTAAACCAGTCTTAGTGTCATTTGGTAAGTGACCTAATTAGCAAGCTACTTAAAGCACATAATTATCTTTTCAACATTCGTAACCTCCTCACCTACATTTTCATAATGTTTTATGCAAGGAATGATAAACGACAAGGTAAAATAAATATAAAAATATCTTTCAGACTGGTCGTTGTTATGCATTTTATAATCTATTGTCAAGCAAAAATATTGCTAATCATGTCGAGTGTTTTATAACCGACAGGACAAACTCCAAATGTCTTTAATATGCAAATAACATATTCGTCTCTGACGCAGGTACTGTTTTGTGCAAAGAACAAAACTGACCGGCGCCGTTTTGTATTGTAAAATATAATTATTTTGGTCATTGTATATTTCCAGATTATGTGAATCAATTATACAAATATGACGTCGGTTACGTCAAACTTGTACAAATAATATGTATTTGTTAGTGAAATGCATTGTTTGAAAACAGACCGTGAAGTAGAAAAATAGATGATTGAAATCGATAATTTGAATGCACATTTTGAAAGAACTGTGTAAAAATCAATTGTTTTTAAATTCTAGATAACAAACAAGTTGTTGTGAAATCAATAAAAATGTTATTTGTACTGATGAAAATTCAATGGCCTTTTGTAACGACTTATTAACTTCCCGTAGGGCAAGTTAGAGTCATCGTCCAAAAATCGAAACTAAGTTTTTTTTGTATATATTTGCGTTTCAAAGGTTTTTGAACATTTTGGCATACTTCAGAAAAAAATGGATGTGTGTGTATGTATGGATACCATCATTTATCCACGTTTTCAGGCGCACGGATCAACCGATTTGAATCATTTAAAAAGCAATCGATTCCTATTAATAAGGAGTCTTGAGATTTTAAGCAAAAGTTTGCCCTACAGTTTCGGAGATACAGAGCAAAGAGTGCAGAAAATGGCTAATATGTCTTTGAGAGAACGGAGCCATCCGATTTGAATGATTCAAAAACATTTCACTTTTATTTACATAACGAAGAATTTGTTAAACCTTTGCACAAAAAGGTCCACCGTTTTCGGAAAACTAGGAAAACAAGTTTACAAAAATGTCATTTGGTGAAATCAGATATTTTCCAGAGTATGAATGATCGATGTAGAAAACTTTCAAGGAATTTTAAAATTGTCAAAAAAAAAATATTCAAAAAATTACAGATTTCAAAAAATATCAGTACTTTCAAAAATTTTCATAATTTTTAAAAACGCCGAAAAACATTCAAAATTCTCAAAAAAATTTACCAGTACCAGCAAAATTTGCCTTAAGGCACCATGCCCACTAGTTAGATTTCAAAATTCATATAATGAAATAATTATTTTTTATGTTGGTTTTCTTACATATTTTTCAAACAAGCTAGGTTTTTATTATGTATTAATAGATATAATGAGTGAAAACATTGTCATAATTACTGTAGTCGTTAATTGCTTTCCTATCTGTTTACATGAAAAGGAAACATCTAAAATTATACACGGGTATAATTACAAAATGAATTTTACATAGAACAAATAAGTATTTATATTCATTTCCAACTTGACAAGTAAAAATTTGCATTTAATAAATACCGCAATTTTATTAAAAAGTTTCTTACGTGTTTGATGAGTAGATTAAGTACGTTACATCGAAAACAGAAAAATATTACCCATGCAAACACTGGAATTTTTTTTATTAAAATATGATATAGATAAATATTTCAGCCATGCATATTCTGCATAAAGCAAGTGCAAATATGTAAATATGCAAACAGTACAGAGAGTCTGCACGTAATTCAATTTTTCTCAATTAACAAGAAGCGTCCCGGCAATTTGCTGGGATTTTGTAATTAGCAGACAAGGTCGAATTTCGGACAGACGAAAAATTAACGTCATTGGAAAATAAATATTCCTAGACCATAAAATCCGAATGATTAAAAAAAAACAAATAAGACGGGAACAAAGATCAGAGAACGTTTGAACAAAGATTTTTATGTAATGTGTATTTTATAAGTAAATTTAAGATATTAAGATACATGCTTGTACTTACTTTAGTGTGAGTTAATGAAGTAGTGTTGAAAATTAATTAGTTTTATACAAAAAATTTGAAGAATTGAAGTCTGATGATAACAAAACTTTGAAAATTATTGAAAATATCGAATATACTATATTCTAGTACAATGCATAAAAATTGAATTAATTGTAAGGAAGGCTAAGGATACAAAAGGGGACCAAATAAATAAACAAAATAAATATTGATTTATACTAAAATATGTGGCATTTCACAATTGTTGGTTACATATTGAACACTGATCAGTTTCAACTAAATATTTAAAATCATCCATTAATAATAAATCCATTACTATCATGACGCTGCAAATGCTGACGTTGTCAGAGAAGAATTGCAATCGCCGTTCTGAAGGACGATGCTCATCCGCTAATTATGCGCAAAGCATATTATATTTATGAAAGGAAGACCAAGAAATAACTGGGCTCTGAATGTATGACTATACTATAACCTTAGAAGTCTCCTGAAACAGGGTTAAACAGGAACATCAAACAAAACGGCACGGACGCCTCATTGTTCCTAAAACGGATGGGTAAATAAATCTCTTTGAGCGAGGTGAAGTTGCCTTGGAGGCGGCCGGATGGCTTATGGCGGATATAGTTTATAATCATGTCTTAAATGTATATGAAATTTGAGATATTTAGAAACACATACGAATTTGTTTTTGTTCAAGAATAGATAAATGGTATTTATGAAGAATGTTATGCTTAAATATTGGAGACTACTGCCTAAGTAAGTATGATGTTTCAAGCAGTTAAGTAGTATAATCACAAAATCTGAAGTTCTGATTGCTGTTCGAAAACAAACACAATTTTTTTTTAAAGTAGATCAATGCAATAAATTAAGTCACCTTAAATTCATTATACCATTATTCTGAATACAAAAATCCCCAGTAACTTCCTCTCTGACCTCTATAACCACACTTATCGTTTTTCAACAGTTTTCGTGTGCCATAAAAACTATTTGATAATTTCATATTCAAGCTTTGTCAGCTAGATTGAATCGCTTTGTAATCCATTGTATCGTTTAACCCTGAAACAGGTTAACGACCAAAGCCTATGAATTAAAACGCCATTCCATAATAGTACAATCTTAGAATAAAATTGATAACGTATGCAAAAGCTATCTAAACGAGGTGACAAATGCCAATGTGGAATAATGTGATATGTAAGATGTCGAAGTTCAAATTACAAATGCAATAAAGTAAAGATTGCACAGTTTAATTGTGAAAGTTTCCATATGAAAATTAGAAGATATAAGGCATTGTTTACGTGTAAATTCTCGTGCAGGTGTTTAATGGGATTCCCAATGTGGTGTAATAGTAAGACGTTACCAAATATTTTAATCCGATTGAAAAAGAAGACTTAGAAAAAACAAACTTTGAAGAAGCCGTGAAACTGCAGTAAGCAGAACACTTCCAAATTTCAACACAAATGTAAAGGACGGGCATTTTGATTGGAGAGATTTCAAAATACAAAAAATAGGCGCAAGTGGCATTTTGCCTT